GGAACTAAGAAGGTTTAGGTTACAGAAAACCCAGGCTTATTGATCCCAACCTAGATGCCCTTCAGTAGATGCCACCCTTCTCAGTCTACCTGAAAAGGTAACAAGCTGCAAAAATTATTTGCTGATCCATGTTAGACAAGATCATACCTAGTCAATCCTCATTATCTGCAGATTCTGTATTTGAGTACTTGCCTACTTGGTACAATTTATCTGTAGTCCACAAATCAATACTCATGGCACTTTGGGGTCAATCACAAACATGCACAGAGAGTTGAAAACTTTGAGTGTCCCAAGAACAGGTTCTTAGGTGAAGTTGATTGATGTGATGCTTTACGTTCTTATTTCAGCTCTCTCTCTCTCTCTCTCTCTCTCTCTCTCTCTTTTAAATTTGTTCTTTTCAGTTGTATTTGACAGTAGAATTTATTTGGACGTAATTATCAAAGCATGGAATATTTTTCATATATTTGTTGATTGATTGTATATTCTTTTCTGAGAAGTATCTGTTCAGGTCCTTGGCCCATTGATTGATTGGGTTATTTGTTTTTTTGGTGCTTAGCCTTTTGAGTTCTTTATATACCCTATAAATTAGTGCTCTATCTGATGTGTGAGGGGTAAAGATTTGCTCCCAAGATGTAGGCTCTCTATTCACCTTACAGGTTGTTTATTTTGCTGAGAAGAAACTTTAGTTTGAGTCCACCCCATTTATTGATTCTTGATTTTAATTCTTGTGCTAAAGGAGTCTTATTTAAGGAAGTTGGGGCCTAATCCCACATGAGGGAGATTAGGGCCTACTTTTTCTTCTATTAGATGCAGAGTCTCTGGTTTAATTCCTAGGTCCTTGAGTTTTGTGCATGGTGAGAGCTGGGGGTTTAAGTGTTGGCTAGGATGGGGGGAAAAAGTACACTCATACTTTGTTGGTGGAACTGCAAATTGGTGCAGCCAATATGGAAAGCAGTATGGAGATTTCTTGGAAAACTGGGAATGGAACCACCATTTGACCCAGCTATCCTTTTCCTTGATCTATACTCAGAAGACTTAAAAACAGCATACTACAGGGACACAGCCACATCGATGTTTATAGCAGCATAATTCACAATAGCTAAACTGTGGAACCAACCTAGATGCCCTTCAGTAGAGGAATGGATAAAAAAAATGTGCATATATACACAATGGAATAATACTCAGCAATAAAAGAGAATAAAATCATGGCATTTGTGGGTAAATGGATGGAGTTGGAGAAGATAATGCTAAATGAAGTTAGCCAATCCCAAAAAGACAAATGCCAAATGTTTTCTCTGATGTAAGGCTACTGACTCATAGTGGGGTAGGGAGAGGGGAGCCTGGGAGGAATAGACAAACTCTAGATAGGGCAGAGGGGTGGGAGGGGAAGAAAGGGGGCAGGGGGTTAGCAAGGATGGTGGAATGTAATGGACATCATTATCCAAAGTACATGTATGAAGACATGAATTGGTATGAACATACTTTATATACAAACAGAGATATGAAAAATTGTGCCCTATATGTGTAATAAGAATTGCAATGCATCCTGATGTCATGTATTTAAAAAATAAAATCAATTAAAGAAAAAAAAACATGGAATATATCTTAATCTTAGCTTGTATATTATACATAAGTGTCCCTTTTGTAGTCTATTTAGCACCTATTTTTTTTTCTTTTTATCATTTTATTGGTCCAGTTTACTACTTAAAATGGATCCCAGGTATCCTGCAGAAGAACTGGCTTGTGTCTCCAAAAGCAAGGAAATTGTGATATCCCCCACCTGTGTTAGACAAGCCCATTCAGATGGGAGATACAGTGCCCTGACCCTCAGCTCAACATTAATGAGTTGAGCTGGAACATTAAGCTGGAAGTCTTCGAAGACAAACAAGCATAACACGAACTCATGTATTAGTCAGTTGACAAATGTGACCAGAGGTCCACACATAATTGTAAAGTAAATTTTCCAACTCAAAGAAATGATAAATATTTCACCTCTCCCTGAATTTCCCACTAGAGCAGTGATTCAGAATTCACTAATTCACTTTTAGTTTGAGGTAGGTAGTTCTGTAAAATCACAATGACAATCAACTAATCAACTGTATTTATCTCTCTGTAATCTTGCTCTCCTTAATTTCTTAAAGGCTTAGATGCTCAGGTATTTTTAAAATGTTGTCCTTTTCTAAGGACGTACATTCTCAATGGATGTAGTATTGCTGCCTAGGGACAAAAAGTGGTTCTTGGAGGAAAAACACTTTATTACCCTTTTTTATCCATAAAGCAGAGATCATGCACAAGTGCACACTCACACACACACACACACACACACACAGATATACAGTATATCAGTGGTGTCACAAGTTCACGTGGGTAATTAGAAAAACAAGACTAAAAAGTTTTGAGGGCAATAATGAAAAAGAGATTCAGAAGCTCCGTCATGGTGCATAGTGAATATTTAATAAGATGAAGCATCTGGAGTATTTATTAGAGTACAAAATACAGCATGTGCACTCAATGTTAGCTACATGAATAACATTAATAATATTATTTCCCCAATTCTATCCCTTTCCTTCATACACAAGCTTTTCTTAAACTGGAGTTTTTGGCCCCCTGAAGCATGACCACACATGTTCTCAGGCATGACTGAGAATTTCCTCTGAAATTTGTTGTCTTGTATTGCATTTTTAAGTTGATGATAATTGTAAAATGAATATTCCTAGCACAAAGAAATGATGAATGTTTAGGGTGATGGTTATACTGGTCATCCTGACCCAGTCATTACACATCATACACATGAGTTCAAATATCAGACTAACTCGTAAAATGTTTGGTTATCATGTATCAATTAAGAATCATAAAAGGCAATAATTGTATACCCATTTGCCTTTATAATGGAGGCCTGCCACAAGATTCTATGGTCCAAGTTCCCCATCTTCTTGTGGACTGATAAGGAAGAAAGGAGTAGACTTTGAAATGTGATGATACTCTCAGCCCAAATGAAGGGCCACTGAGGTGTCATCTGTCATAGGAGAGAGTGCCTGCTGGGTAGCACAGGCATGCCCAAACCAAGAAACCTTGGCTTTAGCATCCAGTATTGTGTTTGAGTTTTGAAAGGCAAGTTTTCCTCAGCAAAATAACATCATCTCTCATGTTAAACCAGTGCTATTAATTTGAGTGTTATGGGTTGTATTGTTTGTCCTTAATTCATCATTTTGTTTTGGTTTTCTGTTGAATCAGAACTAGAGCATATGGAGTTTATTTCTAGCATTCCATTTGTGCATTACTAAGCAATAATATAATTAAAATAATTTAAGTACATGTATTGGTGGTGTGCACTACTGTTTTCTGCCCTATTAAAGGGAGTATTTGCATTGCTCGGCCTTGAAGAATAATGCAATGGACTCGTAGAAGTACAGAATATTGGAGCCATCAGGAATTATTTAGTGCAGCCACCTCCCCTACCAGATGTGGACACTGAGCCTCCAGGGGAGAAATGAAGGCTCAAGGTCAAAAAGCAAAGGAGAGGCAGACTGAGGTCAGAGAACAGGTGGATGTACTTCTAATTGGGTACCAGCCCCCCACCCCATGTCAGTCCGCCTCCAAAGGTGAACCATGGAAAATAAATGGCAACTCTGCCAGGCTTACAGAGGAAGGCTGGGAACAAACTAAGGAAAGTAAATAATGGATTTGTTTCAGAGCCACAAATCTCAATGTGTCAAGAGAGGAAACGGCAGCCAGTTCTCTTCCCTGCTCAGGTGAAATTACACATGAGGTCAGATTGTTCCATAACTTTCAACAGAACAAAACAATTCTGAAGATTTTTAAATCTAAGCCCAGATGTACTTCTCTACTCTGAATTTAGGCTCTGAGCTCACTCCACCTCGCTAGAGTTGTATACTGTCTTACTCTGTTTGGGCTGCTGTAACAAAATGCCATAGACTGAGTGGCTTGGGAACAAGATTTTTTTTTTTTTCCTTTAAGTTTTGGATGCTGGAAAATCAAGATCAAGGAGGCAGTAGATTCATTGTTTTCTGAGGTTCATTTACAGCTGTCTTCTTGTTTCTTCACGTGACAGGTGAGGCACCAATCCTACCTGTGAGGGCTCCACTCTCATGACCTAATTTCCTCCCTAAGGCTCCACCTCCTGATACCATTTCAGTACATGGATTTCTAGGGACATAACCATTCTGTGCATTGGGTGCATGCACCACTGGGCAGAAAAGACCATTAGGAAATAGTGTTTCTCAGTTGCATATGAGAGTTCTGATCAACACTTGTGGTGTGAGGAGTTCAACTGAGATACAGTTACTAGGATGCAGCATTAGTTTTCTATTGCTGCATAACTTGGGGTACATTGTTATCCCACCATTTCTTTGGGTCAGAATTCTGGGCATGGATCCACTGGGTGTTTCCTGCAGGGCTCACAGAGGATTAGGCAAGGGCTGTTCTCTCATCTGACCTTTGGAATCCTCTTCCCAGCTCACATGGTTGTTGGCAGAATTCATTTCCTTGTGGTAGTAGAACTCATTGTATTTGAGCTTCAAGGCCATCAGGAGGGATCTCTCTCTAGATCCCCTTAAAGCATCCATCTAGTTCATCTAATCTCATTAGATTAATTAAGTCAGCTCTTTAGGGGATTTAATTACATCTGCAAAATCTTTTCAACTTTGCAATATTGTGTTGTATTGGTTAAAGGTCAATTAGTTACAGGTTATACCCACACTCAAGGAGGAGAAGATGATACACGAACATGGTGTCAGGGGATCATCTTTGAGTCTACACATCACAGGCATTAGGTACTTTCCTTACTGGGCAGTGAAGGGTGGTTCCTATTTACAGACTTTCATATGACATTTGGAGCACATTTATCAATAGTAACATGTATGATTATGTTAAAGCTTAGAGGAGCAGAAACTCACTGCTGATCTTAGGCAAGATTATTTAGACCAGAATGTCTCGCCCTCAGCACTACAGACATTTATGCTGAGTAATTCTTTCTCCAGGGTGCTGTCCTATGCATTCTAAGTCATTCAGCAGCACATCTGGCTACTGCCCTTCAGATGAGGTAGCACCTCTACCCCAATAATGACAACCAAATATGATGCCAGACATGTCAAGTGTCTCCGTGCCCAGAAAAATCATTCCCAGGTGAGAATCACTGTGTTAGAAAAATGAAGTGGTCTTGGTGGTTTTTAAAGAAGGAACTATTAAAACGGAATTTGTTTTTTAAGGTGATACAGCTCTATGGAGCCAACAGGCTCTTGCTTCTCCCATAATGCCTGATTCTTAGATTTGCTTATTTCCTTTACTGAGAAATGCATAGTTTATAGTTGCAAATAAAAAAAAAATAATGCAGGAGATGTGTTGTCCACATGTACTTTCTTACTCACGTGTATGCCAAGACAAGGTTACATTATCATATTTGACTATGTTTTATAATCTTGTCTGAGTTTATAGTCAAGTCATATTATAGGAGAGCTTTGGTTCTGCTGTAACATGGGTCAGATATTTCCCCAAAGATTTTTTAACACATCAGACAAAAAGCTTAATAAACTCCATTCTTGGTATCACAGCTCCTTTCTTGGAAATGAGGGACGTGGCTTGATGTGGGGCTGTTGGAAGGCACGATCCAGGTCTGAAATTACAAAACTCAAAATCTCAATCCTGTTTTCTCTAGGCAAAGGCAGCTCAAGCATCTCATCCGACGTGAGTTCAAGTACAGATCACACGCCGACCAAAGCCCAGAAGAATGTGGCTACCAGTGAAGGTAGGCATCTGGTCTTCATTATCCCGAGCTTTCCCTTTACAAGGCTGGCTATTTTTGGAAAACAAAGAAAATGTGGGAGTTTTGTTCTATTCTGCTGCGTGGGAGCATATGAGGTTATTAAAAAGGAGAGGCAAAAAGGATCTCCCAAGTTTCTTTTTGGTCGCACTGTTGTTACTGCCAATCAAATTTGATGGGATAGGATTTCAGTGTCTCAGTTCTAAGGCAAATTCTGTAATTTTGTGAAACTCTAGCAGGTTGACTTAAGGGAAGACTTTATGATATTACATACCTGTTTTTCAGTATGGAAAACAATAGGCTTATAGAACCCTTGCACTACAGTTGGAAGCTCCTGCAAGAACTAGTAACATAGATGCATCTGTGATTTAGGATGCTATAATTGGAAGGTCATGGTCACGTAATTTGTAGAACTTGAATTAATCACCAACCTTTGGGAGTGGCAAAGGAGGTTTTTTTTATTATTTGAAGAATAAGTGAAATGTTGTGCCAGTCAGGACAAAGATTGGTCCTATTGGTATTCTTGAGGACGAATTTGACTTCTTTGCTTGTAGAAATACCTGTGGGAATGGCACTGTTCCCAGTAGTGCAGAGGGTTAGGGTTACTACTTGATTGAGGAATCGTTCTATGGCAGTTTTTAAGGGGAAGGTTTACCCAGTGATAGACTCAGCTTCTTGTATTTTAATGTTAAACCCAACTGAATGACTTCTTTTCTGAAGAAGAGCTCTTTCTGAGCATAATCGCCCGGTGGTCCCAGGTCAACAGCAGGGCTTGACACTGATAGACTGGAATATCAGCTGATGAACTGACATCCAGTAGCGCCTGCTTTTCTGAAGTGCACAGGATGTCACGGGGGCACATTTCCAGCTTCTCTTTCTGAGGTTCATTTCTGCTGCTTGAAAGCTGGAACGTGTGCTTGCAGGCTGGTGTTGGCCCAGGGAGCTCTGTGAATCCTCTTGATCTGTGTGAAAATCTATGAATTCATGATAATGGTTCACCTCTGTTAGCGTGTGTCTGCTCGTTGCATGTTTTTGGACATGGTGTGTTTCAGATACCACAGAACTACCTTCTTGGTCATTACTTATCCCCAGACCAATGCATAGGTTGTTTTTGCAAGTGGATTCTTTTCTCCTGCTTTTAAAACCTTAGCATTGTTGGATGGACATCACCAACCATTGTAAGGCAGAGAAACCAGAGAACTCCTCAGTGCATGCAGAGAAACCACAGGAAGCAATCCAATCTTAATCATCTGCCTCTGAGTTCAAATATGGGCATTAGGTTGTTCTTGAAATTGAGTCAGGGTCATGTGCAAATCTGCCTATTTGATTCTAGACTTCCTACTCTAGGACCCAGAGTAGAAATCACTTCAGTCTCATTCACAGGGATCGTCTGTTGTCAGAAACGTGTTCCGTGAGATGATCATGTCTTCCTATCATTGTTATACAGAGACTTGTTTCGATGATTTCTCTGAGTGACCATGAAAACAGAAAGTTGAACATTTAAATAATCTCTGTGTTTGTCTGATTTAAAGTTTTCATATCACTTTTTTTTTGTCCTTTCCAAAAATAGAAAATATATAACTTTATGAGCTTTGTTACAGAGTTGGGGACAGGTACTGTGGGACTTCTGCATTTAAAATGTCTGCTTTTTATGTTTTTTGTTTGTTTGTTTTTTAAAGGGCCAGCTCTATAAAGACTTTAAGTTTTCAGTTTTGTCTTTCTCTTAGGAAGAGGTATAGGCTCAGCTATTGTTTTATACATTTTGTGACATGTATTTATTTTTTGTCATTCTGAGGGTAGATTTGGGAGGAAAAAAACAGGAAACTATGATGTTCCTATGAAAAAGAATTTTTTTTCCAAGTGCACTAAATTAATACAGAACTTCTTTCTAGATTTTAAGAGGAAGAGCCTCATCCATGTAAAAGATGCTGTACATTTCCTTATATCTTGAAAAATTAAAGAAGTGTTGACTTTTGCTCTTTGTGTGTGTGAATCCATTTTTCTACAAAATTTCAATTAATGAAAACTTATAATATTAAAAAATAAACTCAGGGTGAGCATTAATTAATGAAAATGTGTTTGAAGGGTGTTTCATGCATATCTTGTCTCATGGTAGGCTGTTTTCAGGACAAAGCCAGAGCAGTCAGTGCTTTGATCCTCCTCTCAGGATAGGTGGTGCTGACAGCCCATTCACAGACCCCCACCGGGTGGATTTACCTGATGGTGTGTGTTTCTTCATACATCCAGCTAACCTCTGAATGCAAGACTGGCAAACACTATCTTCTCACACAAACTGCAGAAGAGCACTTTAGAAAGTGCACCTCTGATTCTCTTTCCACTGTTTTTGAGAACAATGTTTATAATCTTTCACATTAAGAAAATGCTGGGTGAGCATGTAACTGGTTTTCTGGAAGCTGTTGGATTATGGTGATTTTCTTCAGTTCCTTGATCCTTGCCTATATTTTCACCTCTGAATTCATCTGTATTGTTTTAAAGGTCTGCGTGATGTTGGTTTCTAAAAGTGATATGTATAATGAATAACATTTCATCTTCCTGCAGCCTTTGAAAACCAGGGCCATGCCTACAATACCTGGTTGGAAGCACCATTAGTAGTGCTGGGCTTTGCCCAGATGGGAAGGATAGATTGGGAAGATACTATATTGGTTCTCTGGTTGTTGTTGTTGTTGGTGGTGGTGGTGGTAGTGGTGGTGTATGTGTGTGTATGGGTGAGTGTGCACACTAGAATCTGCACTCTACTGTGTAGGTAATGGGACAGATAATGTCCCTTACCAGAAAACATGTAGGCACCACTGTATTCAATGTGTACTGAAAAATAAAGTGAGGATATGGGGTAGAGTGATGGGAAGGGCACACACCTAACATGTGCTTAACCTGGCTTGTGGGTGTGAATGGAGATTAACTGCAGGTGGATATCAGCCATATTTCTGTGGTGAGGATAATGCTCTAAAATTGGATAGTGTTAATAGTTACACCACTAGGAAATTTTACTACAAATGTTGAATTGAACACATAAAAAGGGCTGTTGGAGGACCTGCCACTCTGCCCGATCTTCAGACTTGTATCTAAATCATCACAAACTTGTCTTAGAAAATGCCCTCTCAGCTCTGGGAGATAACGACCAGTGGCTGGAAGACCAATTAGGGCTGAGGCTTGGCCAGTGCAAAGTGTGGTGCTATGGTGCTGCCAGCCCAAAATCTGCTCCTGAGTCAACCTGGCCGTGGGGCCAGAAATGGCCTGATCGCAGTCACGAGTGAGTTCCTGCACTGGCATTCCCAGCCAGCACGGAGCTGACTCATCAGAGTATGTTCTCCCGTAAAGTTTTGGAAGTCACGAGAGACTAGAGACACTCAGGGTTCCCAAACATATTTTTCTTGGCCTTTTCTAGCTACTCTATTCTGTGCTCAGATTTTGTGTTCTATCCCCCAACCTAATGGTATAAGCCCCCTGTTGGTGATTCTAGCAAGTCAGTTTCTTGTTAATGACTTAGGTTCCTCCTGTCTATCCAGTGTCCTAGCAAATTCACCCTGGGTCATAGGCTGTTCTTCTACAGGCAGTGGGCATAGTCGGTGATAAGATTGGATTTTAATCTATGAGAAAAGACCTACTGAAAGGGTTCTGTTCCAAAGTCTCATGCAAAACTTTTGTGCATCTTACTTTTGTGACTCTAAAAACCACACACTCCTTTTAAGGAATTGGCAGCCATCAAGGGCTTACTCCCTGATAAGTGGTATATGCTTTCTTTATAACCCATTATATTCCTTGTGACAGTTTGAGTTTCTGATTTCCTGACACTGTAGGGGGTTTGGGTTCAAGTGTAGAAAGCTGGAAATTTTCCATTTTTCCCAACATAATCTGCGTTCCAACGTTGTAAGACACAGTTTAATTCTTTCCAGTTGTGTTGCTATTCTCTCTCTGACTTTTTTTTTTTCCTTCAGTCTTTCTCTTTGGGAAATAATGGCCTTTGACCTTCAGCAGTGAAAGTCACAACCAGCCCCTGGTTGGGGTGGAGCTCCTGGCAGCCTGTCTTGAGCAGAATCAGTTGGATCGGGTTTAGATCCCGCTGAAGCTGAGAGATAGCCAGCTGAGCTTTGGCTTCTTTCATAGAACAGAGGGGTCTGAGGATATGGCTTGAAGGGTGGCATCTCAATAGCTCAGTCTTCTCTGGATCTGGGGGAAAGTGAAGCAGTTAATTCAAAGGTCAAACTGGCTGAGAAGAGTGTTTCCTTCAGCTGCTCTGCAAGCATACTCATGTTCAGACCCTGGAATCATTGGCCCCACAAGATATGTGAGCGACTGCTGCTTTCTAAATGTCATTATCAAGCCAGACGGCTATGGAGTCTCAAGACTTTCAGAGCTACAAACGATCTTGCCAATATTCTGATCTCATAAGCCTATTTTACAAAGAAATGCTTGTGTCACAGAGAAATGGAGAGATTTGCTCAAGATTGCACACCTAAAATATCATTGAGCAGGAGTTTGATGTGGTGTTGTTGAGGGCTGATTGAATTAGGACAAGCTGTTGTTTCCTGTATGTGAAGATGCTGAATTCTCATTTGTCCTCTTAATTTCTAGCTGTCTATTTTGAGCTGGCTTCAGGGCTGAGGCTGGCCAGGTGGAAACCTTTGAGAAAGGTTGAACCCGTATAGATCAGTAATTCTGGTAGAAGGAAAGGGTCTGCTTCAGAAGATAAGAGGGTCTCAACCTGCTTGAGTGTATTAACTAGCTACCTGGAGAAGGAAACACCACCTCAATGCCCATTCCCCATTTACAAACAGGCCTTCAATAGATTCGCTTAATTTCATCTATAGTTGCCTGTTTAATTCCTATAAAGGTCATTTTAAGCTTTCATCAGAAGAGAATTGGTTTATAAAGAATGTGTAGTGACAGTTCTTTCCCTGGAACCTAAAATCACCAGTTTATTTATATAGTTGTGGTTTTTCATGTTTTCAGCTCCCAAATTAGGC